CCCCAGATAGATAGATAGATAGATAGATAGATAGATAGATAGATAGATAGATAGATAGATAGATAGATAGATAGATAGATAGATAGATAGATAGATAGATAGACTCTGCCAGGGCCATAAAACAGCCTTATTTTTTTGGGGGGGGCTGTGGATTTATTATGCTTTATTTATTTATTTTTACTTAAATGTGTATATGGCTCCCCATGTGGGGGGGGAGGCAAAGCTGGGTTCCCACATCATTCCCTCCAGTATAGCAGCATGAGAGACCGTGAGGAAGGGCAGTTTCCCCACCACCACCACCTCCTTCCATCCGCCTGGGTGGTGCTGGCAGTGGCAGATGGGAACTGGAGTGCTGCTGCCATCACGGGAAGGGGGCACGTTCACAAGGCCCGTGGGAGCGCAACCCAGAATGAGTGGATGGGCTTTGAATGGGGTGAGGGACTGCCCCCGAGGAGCGCGAAGGGGCTTTTAGGAAGCCTGTTCTTATGGCCATAGCGGGCTGGATCGCTCAGTGGGTTGAGGTCTCTGGAGCCAGAGGTTGTGAGTTCGATTCCCGCCCTGCGGGCTTCCCAAGAGAAAGAGCCAGCCTGGGTAGCCTTGGGCAAGCTGCACTGTCCCAAGGCTGCCCCCTAGAGGAAGGGAAGGGTAATGCACCTCTGAGTGTTCTCTACCTGGAAAAGGGTCACCATAAGTCAGAATTGATGTGACAGAACATCATCATCATCATCATCATCCAAGCAGACAAGGTGGGCAAACCGGAAGCGTTCTGCTTGTGGAGCCCTCAAGTGACATCCGACCTAGGGCAGCCCTAATGGGTTTTCACGGTATGTGAGATATTTAGGGACCGGTTTGACTCAGGCCATCCCTGCAGGGAGTCTCTCTTGGCCAAACAGGGATTCGAATCCAGGACCGCAGAGTTCAAATCATTTTTATCCACCATCTCACTGCAGCCTTTCTGTTCTGCATTTGTTGAGGGGATTCTGGGACTCCGTCCCACATTGTCCACGAACATTGTACTCTGAACATGCTTTAGATCTGTTTGCAATGTACTTTTCCATTCGATTTCTTTTCTCAGCCCTGGAATTTGGTCTCGTTTCACAGATACAGTGCCACTAGATCTTCTTCACCCGATTGCCTGTTTTTTTAATCTCCCGCAGGTTCTGCGCCAGGCGCCTTACGGGGCCCTGGGGATGATGCTGGTGGTGGAATCGAAAACGGAGAAAGGAAAAGACGGGAGGAAGAAATACGCGTTGAAAAAGGTGAGAGGGATGATAAAGGGGGTTTCCTCCTGCATCCCCTGGAAGATATTGCCAGATGAGACCAGCACAGTCAAGCTGCGTCCACAACTTGGTAGGATGATGATGATGATGAACGTCTTCTGACCCTGTTTGCAAAGAGGTTGGCCATGCAGCCAAAACATTCGTAAATCGTGCATTTCTGCACTAGCGGTTTTCCAAGCATTAGCCACCACGCGAAGATCTTTTTTCCACGTGTCTAATGTAAAATAGAAATAAAAACAGAAATCTCGGAGTAACTTAAGGACCTATTTTCGTGTGGATTTTCCTTGGGAAAAGCTCAGGCTGAAACAGAGCTATTATGTCTCTAAAAGGGGACAAGAATACTTTGATTTTATGTTTTTTTCCCCTCATTCGTACATTTTATTCTCTGGGCAGCAAACAAGATTCATATAAAAAGAAGTGTGTAGCTATTTAGAGCATCCTTACGTCGCAGTGTATGCTATTAATATTTGATTTTTATTCAACATGTTTGTTACTTCTTTGGTATTTAGTCAGTATTTATAGCTGGATATTTACTTGTTCAATATTTATTTATTCAGAGCCCTGTTTAATTGTTGAAGAAATCCTGCCTGGTTTCCATCGAAAAAGAGCACAAAAACCACACAAACTTGGAAATGAATGTTACAGGTTATGTGAAAAAGAAGAAATAATTTGGGGGACAGAAAAGAAAAGGGTCAGAAGAGTGAATAGTGCGCTTCATAAATGACAATAATAAAAATGTCTTAAATGATTATTCCATTTAATCCCATTCAGTTACTCCATTTCACATTTCCTTTGTTGTTTCCGACAGGTTCAATGCATCGATGAAAAACAAGCCAACGATGCTCTTAAAGAGGTAGCTTATTTATTACTTATTTATTTAATTTATAGCCTGCGTTTCTTGGGACTCAGGCATGGGGCTTGGGACCAAAAACTCAGATTTGGAACTCGGGACCCCAAGCCTGACCAACGGGCCTTGGTAAAGGACCCTCCGAGGAACCCCTTTGTGTCGCTCGGATGGATATATCCCCGTATGTTATAATTTCCCCCTGTATTTCTTGTTTTCCCTAAAGGCTATGGATCTGCTGAAAATAAAGCATCGGAATATCTGCCGTTACAAAGAATTTTTTATCATTTGGGACAACAAGGTGAGGAGGAAACCACGTTGATCAGAACTGCCCTCCTCGGCTCGCTTATCCGAGGTCAGGTTTTATCGAATTCATTGGGTCTTGGTGAGCCGAGGGAAAACTTTGGCAGCATTTCCAAATCTGTTCCAGATTTCATCTCTCTACCTTTGTCTCGTGATGCCTTATTGGGATCAAGGAGATCTCTCGTCTCTGATTAAAGCCAAGAGAAATAAACGTACTAGGTTTAAAGACAAGGTAAAAAAAAGCTTATAATCAATAAATAGTGATATGAATATAGCATACACCGACACCCAAAATCATGCAAACGTCAAACTTGTGCATTTATCTCCCTAGGTGATTCAGATGCTCCTGGGGCAGATGGTAGATATTTTAGTTTATATCCATCAACAAAACATTTTTCACAGGTGAATAAAAGAGTCTCTTTTTTTCGATGTACAGTACTTGCATGTCATCTTTCTGCCCAGTTTTCTTTGTTACGTCTTTATTTTTTCAATGGGGCCCAAAAATTAAAAGGGTTTCGAGGGAAAACACCCTTCCGGCAGGATACAGCTTTAAACTCTTATTTTGCTTTGCTGATAAAACTTTCTGGTGTGTTTCAGAAACATCAAGCCGTCAAACATCCTTCTAACTGCCAAGGTATCCTTCATGCTCTGCGATTTCAGCACAGAGACGCTTATGACGGATGAGACGAAATGGACGATAAGGGTGAAGGAAGGTAGGAGGAGTTCCCCCCCACCATGACCTCGTTCTGCAGAAAAAGCAGTTGATTCTGGCTGTTTTGACTGTAGATGCTTACGCAATAAATAGATGTCTTATCTCCAGAACAGGAAAGCGCTAAAAGCACAGAGATTGTCACGCAAAACAGACCTGCCATCTAGGACATAAAAATAGGTCTAACTTTGCAGTGGCGGTTTCTTTGAAATGCGTGTGAAATCCCTTTATTGACGTCCGATATACCGATGCTCACCTCCTAAGAACATTTTTGCCTTCACTACATGAGTTATGGGGGCAGAATATTTCCAACCAGAGGACTTCACCAGAATTTACAATGCATTTACTAAACGCAATTCAAGACGAAAATGTCATTTTTCACCCCCAGACCTAAGGGGTGAAAAAATAAAACCCCAGCCATCTATGAAATAAAAACTCAAAGCTTAACGTTCGGCATCTTGGAATAATTCAGGGATCTCTTGAGTTGGGATACGGGCCCCCATGTCGGATTGTATTGCTTTCGGAATAGATTCCTGGGCAACAAATTGGTTGTATTTCCTTTAGATCCTCACTTCCAATCCTGGATGGCTCCAGAAGCGCTGAAGTTTTCGTTTAGCGACAAATCGGACATCTGGTCCCTCGGCTGCATTCTGCTGGAGATGATGACCTGCTCCCGTCAGAAAGTAGGTGGTCCCGCTGACGCAAGGGTTTCGGAATACTCGTGAGATAGAACAACTGGGAAAATATAAAAAAATTAGTCCCTCTCTGATCTTGAAGCAACCAAGCCACGGTGCTTGCTCATCTCAGGTCTAGGGGAAAATGATACAAAGGACTGAAATGCTGAAACAGAGGGAGGGGCACAAATCCTGTTAGAAGCAGAGGAACGGGCCTGCGGCTCCCAGCACCACCAGCAAATAAAGAGAAAGCTGTTAAGCTGGGACCAGTAAATGTATAGCCTTTAGGAAGGGCAAGCCACCTTTTAAAAGATGGCAGCCTAACAAACGCACCTGTTATGCCCAGCTCTGCTGCAATGGAGCTGTAAAGAACTGTATGTATAGTAGAACCCCCTTATCCACAGGATCAGTATCCACGGATTCACTTCTCCATAGTCTGAAAATATTTTTTTAAAAAATCCCCCAGACATCTATTTCTATTGGGGAAATAACCAGAAATGCCCACTTTGAAGGGGCCAAAGACCACACGACATATTCCTTTCACTGTTACAGCATTGTTTGCTATAATCTGCGTTTTTCAGCATCTGTGGGGTTGGGGGCCCTTGGAACGGATCCCCACGGATATGAGGCTCTTATTGTATTTTATGCGTGGCTTTATTTCTTTTTAGGTGAACGATCATATTTCCTTGCTGCGCGAGATCAAGGAGAACGCCAGTTGCGCTGAGGACGCTTTGAAAGCCACCAAATACCACGATACACCGTTATCTTCCATTGCGCTGATGATGCTACAGATTGAGCCCGCGATGAGGCCGACAGCACAGTGGGTCCTGGATTCCTCCTTTCCCTTTATTATTCTGCACCAGAGCCGAGGGCCACGCTTCCCCGTAGTCATGCGCGATCACGGCTGGAGGAGTGCTCCGCATTTTTACAGGCGGTCTGCCCTCCGACTGTCGCAGAATCAACCCTTCTGAATGACCCCAATCAAGCCGTTTGGTTTGTTGGGTGTCGCGTTGGCCGACACCTTCGATAGCAAAGTGTAGGGAGAGTCCCAGCTTTAATCATGAAGACAAACCTCCCCGCTTAATTGAGTTATTTGTATTTCTACCCTACCTTCCAGTGCATGCCAGCTCTTAAACACGGTGCTTTAAACAGTTTCTTCCGCCAACCTAGATGTCCTTCCCTTCTCTGCTTCTTCTATTTAGGGAACTAGTTGATCATCCATTTGTTAGAGACTGCCTGATTCTAGCCGGCTCTCCCTTAATAAAGGTGAAGAAACATGTACCTGTGGGATTAATGGACATCGTGCTTGATGCTGGCATCCAGACGGTTCTAGGTAAAGCTTACGAGTAGCTTTTAAACGGAAACCTACGCCTATTTTGGGGAAATACAGGGATATGGGAGGAACACCTACATCAGATCTTCCAGATTTATTTAACTGTGAGATTCTTCCTTACATCTTACCGGGTCTCCACCAGGGATCACATACGCCTATTTTGGGGAAATACAGGGATATGGGAGGAACACCTACATCAGATCTTCCAGATTTATTTAACTGTGAGATTCTTCCTTACATCTTACCGGGTCTCCACCAGGGATCACATTCCCAGAGAACATGACTTTGTGTATCTCTCTCTTTGTGTGCATTGCAGTATTGAAATAATAGCTTCCTGGAAGTTACTTTTATGTAAAAGAGGACCTGGCATCAAAACGCCAACTGTTTTTTTTTTCTCCACTGCAGAATTCATGATGTCTTACCAAGAGATCGAGGAAGCGCAAGAAAAAAGTATCGAACGCCTTCTGGAGCTCTTAAAAAAAGAAGACGGTAGGTTGGCTCGGGTGGCATCTTTTTCTGCACCGTTTGATGCCCCCAATTCAGCAATGATAAACAGCACGATCGAGTTCACGGATCTACGTAGGGAGTAAAAGGACCCGGTGTCATGAGAAATCAGAGTCCCTTCTAGCTAAATCCAGGGTGCAGGGTCTTGGGTGTAGAGACTGCTGGCTCAGAGGGCAGTGCCAGGGTGAATCGGTGCTGAGTTTTCCTCTGATGTTTCAAGGAGCTGTCCTGGGTCCTGAACACGGTGCCCTTCAACAGACCCAGCTCCTTGGGTAACCCTTTTAAAGTTCGGACTAATACCGGGAGCAGATTTGCCGTCCTTTTTGACATCAGAGCCATCAGCCTCCACAGGCTCCTATCCTCTGTTTGTTATACAATTTGGCCCAGAGTAGACTTAGCTATGACGGAGGACGAGAGGGTTGGACAGGGTCACCAAAGCGACCGACATGACTTTGACCCAACTCCGGGAGGCAGTGGAAGACAGGAGGGCCTGCCGTGCGCTGGTCCATGAGGTCACGAAGAGTCGGACACGACAACTGAGCAACAACAAAGACTAGCTACACACAGCCCTTCTTGGCTTTTGTCGATAAACATAGTAGACCCAAAAAAGGGGTCCATCTGCCAGAAGGACGGTGAGCCATCTCCACTCTGCACCTATTTATTTACTTAAAATATTTTTACCCCACCTTTCTCCTTTAAAAGGTGGCTGACGTCATAAAAAGACCATACTCATCAGCCTATGTTAAGCAGGGGCTATTTTACCCTAATGGCCAGGGTTAACCCTACCGTTTAAAGACAAGTGATATCATAGTAGCAGAGAATCCCGAAAAGAATAAGATATAATAAAACCGCTGCAGTCTCTTCCCCACAGTGGATATACATACCTTCCTGGGACTTCTGGAGCCTGTGACTTGCGCCATCAATAATCACATGGATTCTCCGGAAGTACAGTTGGCAGGATACTCTTTCCTGCTTGAGCTCACAGGCAGAGGTAGGATGATGACAATTCAGAGTTAGGTTCTGAACCATTATTTTCTGCTCCTGTAGCACTGCTCCTCACATAGAAGCATGGTGTGGCTCAAGAGTCTCGTCAAAGTCACAGTAGCCATTTGGTATCAATACGTTTGGGTTGCTCGGAAAGCCCTTTAAATCTCCTTTGTTTGAATCCCCAGAATTGCTGTAGGTCCTTTTATTGAACAGCAGGTCCCAATGTTTATGGTGCTTCTGGATGTTGTACCCAAAGCCATTAGGTTGCTTAGACATCCCCTAACCTCTTCTGTAAAGAAAAACTGCTTTTTGAAGTTTTGATGCATACAGCAACATTCCTGTATCCGTGGGGGTTCCGTTCCAAACTCTCCTCCCCGTGGATGCCGAAATACGTGGATTATAAAGAATGCTATTTTAATAGCAAACACTGCACCGAGCATGATCTCTCGCTCCCTCTAGGAGCCAGTTCAAGCCACTTCATCTTTGGAAATACATATTTCTATGAATTTTTTTCTTTTAATATTTTTAATCTATTCGGACTGTGGCTGAGTGAATCAGCGGATACCGATCCCACAGATAATGGGGTCCATTCTCTATTGCCATAGAGGCATGGGGAAAAAAATCAGTCATAGGGGACAAGCGAATCTGACGGTAAGTCATTCCCATCCTGGATGACCTCCCGACGGAGGGTATCTGTAGAACGTGGTGGCGAAGGGTTTTCCGTAGGACAATTCCGGCGCCCGCAAGTCATGAAAGATTTCACAAACACATATGGCTGGTGTTAACATGAAACGTTGAAGCAGGCAAAGAGCGGCTGAATCCTATTATCTTCTCTGCTCTCCGCAGCTCTGGGGAAGAACCTGAAGGTGGAGATGCTGGCCTGTGAGAACATCCTCGGTTGCCTCCTGAATTCCATGAGGACCTATTCGGACAATGAAGGACTGCTGTGGATGATTTGCACTTTATTCATGATGATGTCAACCCGTGGTAGTGCCTGTTTGGGGGGGGGGGGGAACTGCTCTGGATTTTCGGTAAGGATACACACTGACTTCCAACTTTCTAGGTCTTGTTTTGGGCTCTTAACAGCTCTTAAGAAGCAGGAGGCACCCAAGTGGCATCCGTTTTTGAGCCTTTCCCAGGGCCAAAAACCGGCAGAGGTTGGAGAGGAGGGTGAAAATGGGCGTTTGATTTCTCCTCTTGGCTCAAGCGCTTTTTTGGGTGGGTTTGAAAGTCAGGGGAGGGTCCTCTGACGAACGAAGAGGACGGCGAGGTCTGATCGCTGAGTCTCTTAAAGGGAGAACTTGGCCAGCGCCGGGAATGCTGTTTATACCAGAGAGAGGAATCTTAAAAAGCGATTTCTTTGCATGGGAGTTATTTTTAAAAATATACCACCCCGGTTAAAAAAAGGATGGTCGCCGGCCACATTCTTTCTGCCCGCTTTAGCAGTATACACAAAATACAACAACACAGCGTAAGAGCGGTCAAGTACATTCATGATCCATTGGCTTTAGGGTTCTTATTTCTATGTATTTTTTTAACAACTCTCGATTCCGCAGCTTCAGAAGCCAACTGATGGGAAAAATCGGCCGCGTATGGGGCAATGAGGGTCTCTCCTTCATCCTATTTCTCTTCTTTTGCTGACCAGAAGCCGCTGTGGAAGCCCTGAGGAAAGCCGGCGTCTTCACAGACATGCTGACCATCCTGAGTAACTTTGCTAATAACAAGAATATCAGCCTGGCCTGCTGCGGGGTCATCTGGAGTCTGGTTGCAAACGGTACTTAAAAAGAACGCCAACACCTAGGTTGGCTTCTGCTACTGGGGAAAATACGGTTTAAGGAGAGTCATCCTCTTGGGTCTGCCGAGCTGGGTTTTTCAATTGTATACTTGCCACATTCTGCCTTTCCTGCTCCCCAAACAATGAGAATCCTATGTTCAACTCAGGCACCGACGTGGCCGAATACCCGCTAAAATACGCCATCGAAGTGGTCTCCATCATCCTCCACACGCACCTCGATGACGGAGAAACCGCCGAGTCAGCCTGCAGCGCTTTCTGGGCCCTGTCGCTTCACGGTGAGTTTCCAGCTCTGCTCTCTTGATAGCACGCGCGGGTAAAATGCCGTTCCACAGACGCTGGCAAGCTGCCTTTCCCCCACCCTCTTCGCAGCCCAAAGCTGCTATTTAGGAGTCGTTCACGAGTAAAAACCACAATGGCCTTCGTTTCTCTGCGTCTTCCTTTTGATATTCTCCAGGCTGCATAGACGAAGCTCATTACGAACCCTACGCCTTACTTCTGTTGGAGGCGCTCCGGCGACACCCGGCAAGACCCGTGCTGGCCAAGAACGCTTGCTTGGCTCTGGCGAGCCTCTTGCGGACCTCTGGTAAACCCCTTCCCCTCCTAAGAAACAGGAGGCTGTCTGGCCAACATAAAAAAACAAAAGGACTGGGGCCTATGAAAAGCTAGCACGTTGTTTCAATGTAAGCCTTTGTCTATGCCAATCCACTTCTTTGGTTGATGCGCCTCGGGATGCAGTCTTGAATCCCTGAAAACTCACACGGCCAGTCTTTAATAAGGGGCCAAAATACAGTGGTGCCCCGCATGATGACGATAATCCGTCCTGGGAAAATCGCTGTTTAGTGAAATAATTGTCATGCGAAAGTCATCGTTATGCGGATTTGTCGCTTAGCGGGGTTGTTGTTTAGCGAGGTACCACTGTACCATGGTTTGCATCTCTTGCGCATACTGAAACGTACGAACACCACCTCTTTCAAACTGGGGGATGTGGTTGAGCAACGCCAACTGGTAGGTCAGTCGCCGAATTCTATGGACTCCTGCAGGGGCTCCCAACCTGGAGGTCCCCAGATGTTCTTGGACTACAACTCCCAGAAATCCCGGCCAGCCCAGCGAGTGGGGAAGGCTTCTGGGAGCTGCAGTCCATGAACGCTTGAGTTCTCCAACCACTGGTTGACAACCTAAAGCAAACAGAAAAGGACAGAGCAGATGTTGCTTGGGCACCGGCTCAGAATAAGACCATCGCCCACAACCCATGATTTGCATGAATCAGATGTGGATAGAGATTTGAAAAAGATACGTTGATGCTTGATGGGATCATACAAGGCTCCTTCTCTTATCAAAGGTAGTGCAAAGTTGCAGTCACAGCTTAAATTTCAGTTTCTAAAACATCTTACTGATCTCGCAGACCTGTGGAGGGAAGGATTCTGGGTCCACAAAACCAGTCTTGTGGCTTGCAACCAAAAAAAATGGGAGGCTAGGATTAAAAGGCAAAGAGAACTGAAGAATTGACCCGCCGTCCTCTCCGTTCCAGAGTTATGTGGTTTCCGCTTCATCGTAACGGACGAGAAGGGCAACGGGACAGCGGTTCTTAAAGACTGCTATCAGTTCCACCGTGAGGACCCCGAAGTCGTGGAAGACATCTGCGTCCTGATCGACGAGATGTTCAAATATGGTAGGCACTCTTTGGCTTCAAGGCCTCTGGATCACCCCCTCGCTGCGTAAACCAAACTCTTGTTCAGTAAGCCCAAAGAAGCAAAAAACAGGATTATCCATCTGGCCAGCAAACTAAAAACAAAACTTAAAAATGGCACTTCCTCTAAAATTGTAAAGAGACCACAAACTCTTAAGAACGTGGGAGAATTTGCGGCTGGAATCGCGCGCACCGTCTTGAGACCGAAGTCCGCTGGAAGTACTTTTATGTAGATGGTTTCATGGCAGCCTCTTTACTGGTGAAACAGACACTAAGAGGTCATCAAGAAGGCCCCCAAAACGTCTAGCTCCCTTTGGGCTTCTGTGTCTCTAAGAATTGTATATATTACTTTCTGCAAAAACAAAACCAGAAATTGTACTGCCAGGGACGCAATCTGTCAGGTTCAAAGCAGCTCATGCGGATGTCATTAATTCTGCTATTAAATGGTAGTCGCTCTCATTTCTTCAAACCCGCAGATGAAATTGTTTTGGAGATGGCCTCACAGAACATTGCAGAGATGCTGACTGAAATGAAGAATAGATTTACCTCCAGTTTGGTAAGTAAGAACACCCACGTCTATAGCCGAGCGGCTGACATTTCACTATAAGCCTCTTTTTAAAAAATCTCTCCTTACCCAGAAGGTGCAGATCAGTTCATATAGTAAGACTCCTGTATCTGTGAGGGATCGGTTCCATACCCCCCCGCGGATGCCGAAATATGTGGATTATAGAGAACACTATTTTAATCCCATGCCCTATACACAGCATGGCCTCTGGCTCCCTCTAGTGGCCAATTCTGGTAACTTCGCCTTTAAAAATATTTGATTTTTCCTTTTAAAATTTTCAACCTATTCAGTGTGTGGAGACGTAAATCAGCAGATACTGATCCTGCAGATAAGAAGGTCCTACTGCAAATTATGTCCTTAAACTGAGCCTTTGAGCTTAACAAAGTAAGGATCAAAATAGTCTTGAGTCACATTTTGATTTTCGATTGTAGTTTAGTAGGGCTTCCTGGGGATTCCCAGGGCCGACCCTCTGAGGCTTTTCCACGTCTTTTTTCCTTTCTTCTCACCGAGGACTAAAAAAAAAAGTGAGATGAGGCAGCGTCCTTCACCGGCTTTTGTCTTTTCTCTTTGGGGGGTTGCTCAGATCGGATCTTAAGAGGAGGAAAGGATGGAGAAACATGTGGCAAGGAAGCGGGCCGGATGGCTTGCCAAAAGACACACACACACACCCCGGCCGCAAAGGCCAAACGATCGTAGATGTAACGGTCGTGGATTATTCGTTCTGCAGCAGACAGAATTTAGAAAACAAACACGAGCGATTTGCACAGAAAGTAGACAACACGCCGGCAACCACAGGCGCTTCACATTCACGTTTCAATTTTTTTTTCCTTTTGCAGGAGATTGTTGCCCTTGCAAGCAAAGCACTCGCAACGCTGGAGAAAAAAAAGGCGACTCGTCTCAAATGACCAAATTTAGCTCTTTTTACTTAGAAACGCGCAGCATCGCTGGAGTTCGTATCACGCCCACAAGGCGGCCTTACCGGAAAGGAGGCAGGAAGACCCATTTTCTCCTTGAGCCTTTTCAGCCTCCGCTTGGTGACGTGAACGGGAGGCCGGCCTCAGGAGCTTGCCTTCTTCGGAAGAAATGTTTATTCCATGGGGTGTTTCGGCAGTTATTATTTTTCAGTGGTTATGCCGTGAATAAATACGGAAACCGAGGTGACTCTACTGTTCTTCGTTTAGGCAGGAAGAACAGGCCATCATGAGGCTTGAGTTTTTCACCCATCAGTCCCCCCCCCCCCGCCCAGAGTTGCGCCAAGGAGGACAGGACCAGAAATGTTCCACCTTCATCCTTTTCTCTGCTTTTAGTCGCCTAGTTATTGAGTTGAGTCGCCGTTCCGGAAGGATGAGACATCAGCAGGCGCTCCTCCTTTGCGGTTCTGAGTCTTTTTCTGTCTAATTTCTTTTAGAGGCTTTTTGGCCTGCGATTTTTCTTTGAGCGACGCTTCCCACTTTTTCTTAACCATCGTGTAGAGTCTCATCGTGGCTTGGGCGTCCTGAATCTGGGGAAGACGGAGGGACACGGTGAGTGAAACACAAAACGGATGCAAGACGAGGGACCGGCAGTTGTCCCGTGGCTGAAGGACTGCAGGATAGATCGCAAAACTAGTATCAAGAGGAATACGTTAATAACAAGGGTCTCCCATCAAGTCAATTCTGACTTAGAATGACCCTTTTCCAGGACTTTACAGGTAGAGAACACTCAGAAGTGTCTTACCCTTCCTGTCCTCTAGGGGGCAACCTAGGATTGTGCAGCTGGCCCAAGGCTACCCAGGCTGGTTTTTCTCCCAGGAGGCCCAGTGGGGGCATTCGAACTCCCAACCTCTCACTCTGCAGTCAGAGACCTAACTCACTGAGCTATCCAGCCAGCTAACCTTATCTCCCATTCATGTAAATGAAAAGGGCCAAAAAAATGCAGGAATGATGGAGCTGGTTGTTCTACCAACTCTAGATTAGTGTTGTAAATACCTACCGAATTGTGTTCCGCCGTCTGGACCTTCACATTCAACAGCTTCTCGCATAGCAGTTTCAAGGACGGCCTCCCGCTCTAGGCGAACAAGAATTGATCAATTATAGAAACACACAACTAACTGGAAAGAAAGGTTGCTACAATAACGGATTATCTTAAGTCACTAGTACAGACTTTATTTCTTCATCTACAATACTCCTGGCAAAATATCGCTCTGTTCTTACCTTCACCTGCTGCTTGAAAGGTTTGTATCTTTGGGTGTCCCGGATTTTCTTTTTCGGATGGTCCAAAAAGAGAATCTGAAAATGCAGAGGTCCCCCATTGTAAGCATCGCTCGATGGACATGAACAAGTACGTGGGATTAAATTCTTTGCAAAGGTTGAGTTGGGCATTGAGAAACATAAGCACGCGAGAAGAAGCCGATTTTCAAAGCATGGTGCCAATATCAGCCACAAGAAGTTCTTCACAACCCAAATAATGAGCTACCCCAAATTCAGACGCCTCAAAGAAGAATAAAATAGTTATGGTATTTTAAGAGCTGAAATATCAGAAGCCCATGGATGTTCACAACAAAAGAATGTGGTCCTGTACCTTTAGGTCATTGTGAAGAGCGTGGCCAACCAGGATCCGTCCCTTCAAGATGTCCGCCACCTCCTTCTGAACAACTTTAAAATCCTCCCCTACACAAATCAAACAAGAATACTGAAAGAAATATTGTCCGTCAAGAAACCGTGGGAGGCAAATGAAACATATAAGGCAAAGGGCTGAAATTTTTCAGGGATAGGGGAAATCAGACTTCAGGGTGGTTAGATCCGGTTTATTTTTTATTTGCAGTCTTAAAATCCACCAAAAGCAGGGCCATAGGCAAACTTTCAGCTAAATAAGAAGCCAGCTGCAATATAATAGTAGAAACAGGAGCATTTTTTCAGTGGATCAACTGCATGCACAATAAGAACACATTCCAGGGTCTAATCTATGGCACTTTAACGGGAAGTTAAAAGAATCCCAAATAGGACGGGTGGAAAAGAACCTTCCCCAAAGACACAGACCATACTGTGCTAGAAGAGCAAACGGTTCAATTCAGAGTCAATCCGACTCTATAATTATCGCATTTCAACGATTACCGTTCCAGTCGGCTGACTACCTACCTTTCCTTAAATTCTCCGGCCGTACCCCGCTGACTCTGGTCCGGTAGTCACTCACTTTCTCCGTCGGCTTGACAAACTTGTCGTAAACGCACTTGCCGAACAGGTTGACGATGGAAACGCGGGCCACCACGCTGTCTTCGCCGGTGGGGCCCACGCCCACCATCTCGCAGTCCATGGCCACCGTTTTCGTCAGCCTGCAAGAGGGAGGATCTTATCCTGTGAACCAGCACCTCAGAAGCCAGGCTCATCTGTCTGTGCTCTGGTGCAGTTTGCTTGAGTATAACTGTGGGATCAGCTTTTGTCCTTTTCAGGAGATTGGGTGATTATGAGATCTACATATTTTAATGGATAGATGTTCAAGAGAGCCTTTTTCAAGGAAAAAAAGATCACTAGAACGTTTAATTTAACCTCTTAATTAGAGTGCTTACAAATTAACCTCTTAATTTGTAAGCACTCTTGTGTACTTCCTAAGCCACAAACTGCAAATGTCCGCATCGTACAGGAACGCTTACCCTTCAAACGCCTTCTCTTTCACCAGCGCCCGTTCTGCCAGCTGCTCGGGCGACTCTTCCGGGATGCCCAGTTGTTTTCGGGCCACTTTGGCTGCTTCTGGGCCCAAGGCGGCTTCGATATCGTCGGGATCCACGTCATCAAACCAGATACTAGCAGGCAAAAGCAGCCGAAAGAAATATAGGATAGTCAGTATCAACCAGGGGGAAAAGTTGGCAAAATGTAGTGGTCATTAAAAGGTTCTGGAGTGGTAACCTCTCAAATGTTTTTCCCAACTTAACTGAAAGAAGAGTAAGAGACGAAAGCAACGTTCTGCTTCCTGACAGCACCTACTTACTCCACCGGCTTGGGGTCCTCTTGCTCTTCTGTTTTCCTCCTTTTATGTTTAATGTCTTCCTGTTTCGTTTCAGCACGGCCCTGTCCTTGATCTCTCTTGAGCTTCTTCGCCTTCCTTTGAGTCTTTCCACCTAGGTTTTTATCAGATTCTGTGACGCCCGGGCCCTTAAGAGCTTCAGACGAGGTCCCTTCCTTCGCAGGCTCGGGTGTCACCGTTCGGCCTCTTCCATTTATCTTTGGGGTGTTCGGAGCGGCCCTTCCCTCTTGGGCTGTGCGTTTTTTCTTGGAATACGTCTCTGGGGCAGTCAGAGCGGGATTCAAACTGGCAGCCTTCTGCTTCAGAAGCTTACAAGAAACAACAGCAAAAACTTAAAAGTGGTAGGAAAATATTTAAGTCAGAATTCAGTCCAAACTACAAGAGACTATTACCGCCTTTTACAGTATCTATGGGGATCGGTTCCTACTGCCCACCTCCCACAGATGTGGAAAAACAAGGCACTATAAAACTATAAAACAGCCCCTGAAAATAAGCCCTAATGTGTTTTTTGGAGCAAAAATTAAAATAAGACCCTGTCTTATTTTCAGGGAATCGCAGTATGTATTTCTAGGGGATTTTATTTAGTATCTTCAGGCAGCGGACAATTAACGGATGCTGATGCCGCAGATCGCAGGTCCTACTGTAACTGGAGACTCCCGTTGCCTATCCCAAATTTAACAGCTGATGGTGCGTTTTCGGTTTTTTGAAAAACCTTTGTGCCTACACTTCTTTCTCAGACTTTCAATATCTGAAGTATTTTTGTGCTTAGGGGACATGGAAGCCATATAGAAATAAAGCTTATAGGATCAGACAAACTGATGTCACACTTCTGGGAAAACTGAAGCCATGGGATGGATCCTCACCCACCCGCCCCCACTCACATAATCAACCATAAAAGAACAGAAAGGTCTTGGGTCTGATCTAGCGAGGTAAAGATGATGTTCTTGAACAGGAGTCATCCACCCACACAAATTGGCCAAGGGGGGGAAGAGGAAGTAGGATTGCCATACACAAAATGGGATAATGCACATGCAGAAGACCCAGCCACGCAGACATGAAGGAAAACCCCCTGCCTTTCCATACCTCTTGCAAAGCCTTCCAGTTCGATGACACTTCCTGGGGATTTTTTGGCGGCAAGGCCACTGGCCCTTTGGAATTCTTTTCCGAGTTCTCAGCTAAATGCTTTAGCTTCTTTTTCCAGAATATTTTCTTCTTCTTCTTCTCCTTCCGGTGCTGATTTGGAAGATTCTCCGAGTTAACCTTAGCATGAACTGCTGGAGCGTCTGTTTTTTTACTTTTCATTTTCCCCGCCTGGAGACCTCAAGCCTGTGCAGTCATGAACACGGCCAAAGAGCCTGAAAAAACCACAACAACCATCAAATAAATAAATGTTTAAATGGACTGTCATGCCCTGTTTCTTTAAATGCCTTTTAATATTGTTTTCATTGGCTGCTTTCAACATAATACTTGTTTAATCTTTCTTACAATATTTGTGCATTGACCGCTTTCGAAGATCGTCTTTTCGAGGAGGTGAGCCACGCAGGGCCCCTTTTTTGGGGGAGAAAGACAGGATAGAAATATTTAAAGTAAATAAAATAAAGAGATACTTGCATGGTGGCAAAGTAAGGAGGCTCCCTTCTGATCAGACACGTGCAGCGGGGGAGAAAAGGCGATTAGTGGTTTCAGAGCACCGAATCTTTCCCACCCAAACCAAATTTGCCCTATTTTTTAATTTCCATTTCAACTTCTCTGCTGGAGAATCTGGCCCAAAAGGACTGGCCCTACCTTGGTCATCCTGGGCGGACAAGTAAACGTGGGACCCCCTTTAAAGCAGCGGCCCCGGAAGCTCCGAGGGTTGACCAAGCCAAGCCTGCCCGCCCCACCACGTGCTTCCTACCCGGAAGGCGGTCCGTCTCGAAAAAAAGGTCCCCGGGGCAACACGAGCTCAGTCGTTTTTGGTTCCTACCAAGAAGCAGAATAGGGAAAGGATGGAGGCGTGTGTTCTCAGGCAAAATCCAAAGTGGGCTTCTTCTCCATGAAAGCTTACATTAAAAAAAAAAGTCTTTAAGGTGTCTTTTGACTTTTTATTTCCTTTTCACCTATAATACTTGCAAACATAGCTACTCCTTCTACAACTAAAATAGGTCTTAAAAAGTGGCAGATTGTTCTTTGTGGACCTGCGAAAGGAAAGCTCACATTAAAATATTAAGTCTTTGAGGTGGCTCATGGTTTTTGTGGGTTTTCCCCTTGGCTTGCAAAGATGAACACAGCTAACTCTTCTGAAAGTCCCAACTGGGGAAGACTGCGGTCCAGAACTGGGAATAGCCCGGGTGGTTCAGAACCACAGGAAAGCCTGTAGCACACCGTGTAGAGATGGGTAAGGGTTTTGATGTTTTAGCAGGGTTTTTTTTAATTTTTTAACAAAAGGTGGAAGTGCTATGCCCAATCGATGGGGGAGGCTCCTCCACTCCAGGATTCGTAAGCATACATGTACAGAACCCCAGATTGGAAGGAACCCCCCCAGCGGGATTTTTCAAATAAAGTCATATCTTGCCAGGCAATATACTGTATTTGGATACGATTTTTATGATGGTGATGAAGTGTTGGCTTGCTTTTAATTTGTAAGTTTTAAGTAGCCCAGCTGCAGCCATTGAAACACCTTTCACGATGTAGGGCGGATCAAACTGCTCCTTGTTCCAGCTTAAATCCAGTCTTCCTCTGCATACGGAGCCCTTTTCAGATACAGTACATATAAATAACCATACAGAATTCTTTATTCTTTGCCTGCTATAATTATGCATTTAATCCACATAGCACATCCAAATCTCTGGCGTCGCCTGTTGTCATTTTGAGTACAGCCCACCAGCCCCTTGTCCTTCAGCCAATACACCTCCACTACTCCAAGTAGAAATATATTTTCCTTATTAATCATATAGCTTTGTTAAAAAGGAAAATCTTCATTGTTAGTCATGTGTGAGGTAGGTAACCCCCCTACTCAAGACATGTGCTGAGGAGCTACAATTATGAATGCCTATCTATTTGCCTTCTGGGTTATTTTATACTCCCCAATCACTGGATAACCTCTTGCTACACAGAGGGATATTAGAATAACCATTAAAAGACTGTGCGGCTGCCAATAAAACTTTATTTAAAATACAGTATAAGTATTTGATAAGCAGGGCTTGAACAATTTTTAGAATATCGCACCAGTCAGTTAAAAATTTCACCCATCATCATGACCGGGCTCCTTGCAACTGACGTTAACCAATTTAAACTAGGTACTTGTTCACTTTTATTTCTACGTAACAATGCGTAGAAACCCAAAGTAAATTGGATTACTTTCACCAGGGGTCCCCAACCCCTTGTTCGTTGCCTGGTGCTGGTCTGTGCAGGCAGATATTCCACCCCCCCACGGACCCCCTCCCCCCCTGCACACGAGTGCATGCATAATCACGCCCACCTTGTGCACCTTCTTTTCTATCACATTCAAACTTTTTTTGTCCCTCTGTCATTTCATCAAGCTGGATTTCGTGGTACATCCCAGTCACTGAAGTATTATTTATAAATTCATTCTCCATAGGTCCTGGAGTTTTTTCCAGTTCTTCAAGACTGGATATTGTTTTCTTGATATGAATCTGCACTTGATTTATTAGCAGATCAGGCTTCTGAAAAGTCAAAGAAAGTTTTTTCAAAGGGAACAAAAAATCATGGAGAAAGTGCAAGGTTCTTAAGAATCTGTACTTTTTAAGCGGTTTCAGAATGCCTTTAGCTTTGTTGCTGTCGGTCTCCTTCCCACAGCCCACATTTTCGAGGTGTGTCACCAGAGATCTCCAGTCCTGAATGACAGCTTTGATGGTCCCCACTTTGCTGGCTACCCAACGTACTGTATGCAATTCCTGCAATTTCAGCAGTTCTGTTGACAGAACGTCTGCTGTTTCTGACAACTGTTTTTGCTTTTTACTGGACCTGTTGTAGAATTTGTACACAGAAATTAGGCAATAGTCAATTTCATCAATGTAAGACACTCCTTTAAGTGACTTCAGCACACTTAACTGAAGTTTGTGTGCAACACAATGAATAGTTGTGATACGATTTGCATAATCGGTAACTTTAGTTGCCAAATCATGAACACCCTCTATCATCGAAGGCGCTCCATCAGTTGCCAGACCAACTAAACATTTTCCACGTCTCCAATCCAAATTCAATCTTTGGAGTTCCTTGTCGACAACATCTAGGTAGCCCGAAGCAGTGCTATTTGCTAAGGGAGCAATAGCTAAATAGGATTCCTTGATACCGCTAGCATTTATATACCTAACATAAATAATACATTCCTCCACGTCAGATCTACCAGTGGAACCATCTACTAACACAGAAACAAATTCTGAGGCTTTTATGTCAGCCACGACATCTTCTTTCAGACTTTGGGCAATGTAATGTATAAACTCCTTACACTGTTTATTATTGGTATAGCCTTCCAGCACTTCCACATTAAGTTTACCAGCAAGCTCAGCAAGACCTCTAAGGTCAGTAAAGGGCTTGTTGTTTTTGGCAATATAAAAACTTATATTAAATAATACTTCTAAATGAAAGAACATTTTTTCGTCCATTGTTTTTAGACACTTTGCCACGGAAGAATTATCTGGCTGTTTTTGACCATCTAATGCTTCCATGCACCTCCGGTGTGGAGCCGACAAATTGTGAAACTTGAAAGTCTCGTGACGAAACGGTTGCTGGAATCCATGAACCACACGTGAAGACGAATCGCACAATCTTTTGAACTGTGGGCATACTGAGCATCTTGCGACACCACTCTCAACATTATACTCTAACCATTTAAACTCCTCCTTCCACTTGAACAAAAATTTTCTTTTTCTACTTTTTTGACTCTCCACCACAGACCCAGCACTAGAAACACATGGGGATTGAGGGGCATCTTGTACCACAGTGTTTTCGTTAAGCAGATTTTCTTGCGCCATTTCTTTACCCCTCACACAGGGGCAAACAACTGACAGGATTCACCAGGCCAAGAGTTTCTACTTAGGACAGAGTAATTTTGGAAGCTTTGTGCTCCCCATTCTACTTCTTTTGAATGTCTCCAGCAAAAATAAACCTGAAAACAAAAGCACCTGGCCTCTTAAGGAACCACGGTTCCCTCCCACCCCAGGATGTGTCCTGGGAGCAGGAAATCTCCATATTCTCCAGCATGGGACTACTCTACCTTCTCCTGCAGAGCTATATCTCTATGTGCCGCTTGAACTCTCTTCTCGGGAGAAGAGGGCAGTTTTCCTTTTGCAATGGGAGGAGGGAGGGGAGGACTGCAGGATTACAGAGAGAGAGGCTGAGGGGAAGGAGACAGGGAGGGAGCTGCGGCTGGTCAAGCAACATTTTTCACTTGTCACAGATGAGTGGACCAGTGCATTTTTCAAGCCCTGTTGATAAGAGGAAAAAAATTAAATAGTTACTTTTTGTTACATATGAGAAAGGCAGAGGAAGAAATATCTCCTGCCTAAATTACACCACTTTACAAGGTAAGACTCGGAACTCATTAAACAACACAGGCCCTCCTAACTAACAAACCCCAGGGAACATTAGTAACTGGTCAGTCAGGTATCCCAGTTTATAGATTTTAGGCACCTGCTGGGGCTTACCTAACTGACTGCAATATAACAATTTTATTGCACATTCTTAAAACTCAAGCACAAGGGGAAAGCCACAGCCATCTTCAATATACAGCCTTACCATCTCTTTCTGGACAGATGTGAATCACAGCTGACCGTCTCAGAAACACAGCATCCTGCTTCCTAAAAATAAAGGACAGGGCTATTAGTAGGGCAGATAGCCAGGGTTGTTTTTTAAAACCTTCCCAGGAGGATGCTCAGAAAAAACCTTCTCAACAGCAGAAGTCTGCCGGTAATTCCAGCTTAATTAAGGTTTTGCTTCATCACTGTGAGTCCTCCTGAAACGAGGTTGGCAGAAGAGATTGACAGGCTTACCCCTTGTGTGGTTCTGAGAGGCTGTTCTGCAGTGAAAGGCTCCCCACTTCTCCTCCTGTCCTCCGACTCTATGCAGCAGTAGCGACACGCCTGCAATACAAACCAGACGGTGGGAAATGGAGCAGCCAAAAGCAAGCAGGGAGGAGTGCAAGAAGAAAACGCAGTGGCAACGTCTGTGATCAGATTAAAACCTATATTCCCCCTCTTCCAGTCCAGATCGGCAGGATGTCCAATAAAATATTCAATAATAATAATAATTTATTGTCATTGTAAGTATATACACATACAATGAAATTCACAATGTGGAGTGCTCCATTCTAATCCTTCTCCCCTGTCAAGATTATGTAGCCTACGCTCATTCACAAGGGTGGCTTCCCTCTGGCTTTTTTTCTCTCTTTTGCATGAGATTGCACCATTAAGGGCTCCCTGCTCACTTTCCGAAATCTTCCCCGCGTATTCCCTCCAACATACACTGAACCCCAGCCACTAAACACACGTGTTCTTCCTGGAGAAAGAGGTGGACACACACGCATCCAAGCCCTTCATTAAAAATCCTGGATCCCACCAATCACTTCTACAGGCAGTCCTCCCTTCCATCCCAAGGGATGTTTTACCATATTTTTGTATTGCAACACCTATTTGCCACCTCCATACACTTTTATCTCATGGGGGGACCATGTGATCTGTAGTTGCAAAAACAAGCCTATCTTCAATCATCTTAAATTTTATGGACTGGAGCACACTCTTGCATGGCATTAAAAGGCATTTCAATCCAGGCAAATTCGTGCCTAATAAAAAAAACTGTTACATCCTTAAAGGGCCAGAGTTCTCCCTTCTTACATATCTGTCTGGCCTCCACTTCCAGCACGTTATCTACCCACTCTGAATCCCATCATCTTCAACCACATAACTGCAACTAGGATTTATTTATAAATAAAATAAAACGTGCGGCCGCGGTCAGCCGGAGAGAAGATCTCGTCAGTTGTCGCATCTGACGGCACTTCCTATCTCAGCATCATCACCCCGCGGGGAAAGGGAGAAAAAAAAAGAGGAAATCCTCTTCGGGACTCCTCACGAGTAAAACTATAGATCCCCCCCCCAGTGGAAGGCGAGGAGGGAGTTCCTCGCCACTGCAGGCCCTCATAAGCCGAGGAGGCGGCTCAAGAAGTTTATAACCGCCCAATTAAATCTTATTTTTTCCCCTCACGGGAAACAAAACTTCCAAAAACGCCGCCGCCTTGACTTACCTCATTTCCCTCACGACCCGCCACCACAAAATGGCGGGCCTCAAAGGGCGAGAAAGCGCCGCGCGCCGGCTTTTAAAGAGGCGGGACGTACCATCGGCGGCAACTAGCGGGGGGGAGACAAGCGCATTGGGCGGGAAAAGGGAGCGGCCGCTGATTGGCTGGAGCATACCTTTTCCGCGGCGGCCGGGGTGGTGCGTTTATGTGTAACCCTCGAGGTTCAGACTACAACTCCCAGAATTCCGCCCTCCCATGGTCCAAATGGGGAGGAATGCTATTTAATAAACTAGGTTTCAGTCTCCTGAGTGACTTTATTCTTATGCGCCCTCAAGTTGGAACTGATTCATAGCCACCCAAATAGGGCTTTTAAGGACATTTAAGGAGTGGCTGTAGCAGTTTCCACACACCCCAAGTTGACTTCCATGGCTGAAACGGGATTCGAACCCAGGCCTCTAGAGTCCTCATGTGGCACTCTGTCAACTACTACTACACCACATGGGATATATATAATGTGTGTGTGGGTGTCTTTGGTGGTGGCTGTTATGTTTGTCAACTTGCCTCCGACTTAAGAATGAGGGATCTCCAAAATGTCCTGCCTTCCATTGCTTTTCCACAGCTTTTGCAAACTCAAGCCTGTGGCTTCCTTGAGGGAGTCAGTCCATTTTGTGTTATTGGGTCTTCCTCTTTTCCTGCTGCTTCGACCTTTCCTAGCATTATCGTCTCTTCCAGGGGAATCCTGCCTCGTTGAGATGTGCTCAAAGCAGGACAGCCTCGGTGTCGTCATTTCTGCCTCCAAAGAGCCTTCAGGCTTGATCTGATCCTGCACCCCCTTGTTCCTCTTTCCAGCAACCCAGGGTATTCTTCACAAAGCTTATGCACCCTCGACCTGAAAGTAAAGATCCCTGGACAATGGGACTTAAACTTCTGATGGGGCGGGGAAAAAATGCATCAAATTGTTCCTCCCTTGTTCTTCTTGTTCCTTCGGGACTTTTCCCAACAATGAATAAACATCTTCAACCAACCCTTTGGCTGTCAGAAATCCCAAACATTGCATAAGCTTTGCCCTCTGCCCTCAAATGTTCGCTGCAGAGCGCCGCCGAGCCTCCCACCCGCTCTCGATTCCCACTCTCTGGGTGGGTTTGCGGGTGTTTTGCAACAACCGAAGGAAGCTTGCAAGCCGAAAAAGCAAAAAACGGACATTTCTTAGCTTTCTCCTTTGCTCGGGGGGTGTCTTTTGCCCACCGTCTCTGATCATGAATGTAAATCCTTTTGTATTATTTTTCACAGCCTTCCCCTTAGGACTATGCCGGTGGAGCAGAAGCCCATCCGTGAGTATATGACCTTGACTGGTGGGGGAGAGAAGGACGAGAGTTTATTTCCATCTCTGAAACTATTGTTCATTGCTTCTGATTTACGCTGACCCTAGGAATGTGTGATCTGCAAAACATAGGGTCATGAACAACCTTTTGCAAACTGAAGGCTGGGCTTTCCTTAACTGGGTCAATCCATCTCATACGGGCGCTTCCTCTTTTCCTGCTGCTCTCAACTTTCCAGCAGGATCGGCTTTGCTTGAGAGTCTTCTCTTCTTGCAACGTCCCCAAAGTACAATCACTTTGTTTTTCCTGTATTGTTGCGGGTTTAACACATGGAAAAGTAAGAAGTGCCCGGTGTTACTCGTGGAAAGGTCTTGTGAGCTTGCTCTACCTTCACTTTTAAAAATATGTTTTCATGGTGTTATCCTTTCTGATTTAGACTTTTAAAATGTTTTATTGGGGGAACTTTCTCTTGGTTTTTTTTTTAAAACATTGATATCATTGAACCAGAATAGCAGCGAAGGCTGGCTTTGGCGTAAAAGAAAATATGTTTATTTATGTAGATGGCTACGGGTTAGTAGTTGATAAATTCTTCTGCTCCTGAATCCAGTTCCTCGCTCTGATTTCGCTGCTTCTTGGCGGATAAGAAGACTGTTCCAGTCTTAAAAATGATCCAGATTTACAATGCTTTTTAAAAACCACTTTTGCAGACATTTCGGGATTCTTTAGCAACACCCGATGGTCTCTCTTCTTTGGACGCCAGTTCCGTCTTTGAAGGTAAGGAGACACAGATTCTATTTGCAGCTCACATTGTGCTTAGGATTCAAAGCATTGTGTGATGTGAATTATTAAAACCAGTATTACCTTGGGGGGGCATATTAGAGTCTCTCTACACTGGCAGATAGTTATGGTATCTGTTTCCCTGATAGCATTGTTTGGCATGAGGAAAAAGAACCTCGTCTGCTTGAGTTTCTACTTAGAACGATCCCTTTAAGAGCTGGCCCACATCTTTCTGGCACCGGGCTAGGGCGTGCCATCTTTTTGGCCTGATTCACTGAGATGCGAAATACCTCTTTGTTCTGCCTTCACCAACCCTGAGTTAAAAATAGCACCATGATTCACTGAGATGCAAAATAGCTCTTTGACTTAAAATAGCACCACACTGAAAATAAGGACGAGCCAGAGGGCATCGAATTTCACCGTGTGGACAGGCCCTTTGTTGGCTCTCTACATCCAAGGCAGGAGAGATCGCCTTTCCAGATTCCCACAAAGCACGCCATTCTAAATAGAGGGGGGCTAGTACCTCACGGGATTTGGCGGCCATACTTCTGTTATATATGGGGATAGATGAAAAAGGAAGGAAGGAAGGAAGGAAGGGACAGATGGATGAACAAACAAACAAATAGGACGGACGGACGGACGGACGGACAGATGAACAAACAAACAAATGAACCATGGGCAATTGAGCGGCATTAAATCTCGAAAGTGATAAATGATGCAAGAAAAACCAAATAACTGAGCAGTTGAGTTGCCTCTCTTTCCAATAACTCTGATTTTTTTTTCCTGACTCCTACACCCCTCTGTGTTCTGCTGCAGGACGAAGGTCTCCGTCCCGAGTTCGCAGAAAGTCTGAGAGGAATGTGAAACACTTGGAGCTTCTGGTGGTGGTCGGTCCGGATGTCTACCAGTTCCACCAGGAAGACACGGAGCGGTACATCCTCACCATCCTAAACATTGTGAGTGCTTTTTTTGGCTGAATTTTACGATATCCCCCTCCCTGCCTGGTCCATTTGGGATCCTGTGTTCTTGACGTGATCAAAAGCTCAACCTGACAGATGCTCAACGCCTTGCATGGAAGAGTCAGCTTGTTTTTGAAAGTGACACGTCCTTATTACTGATCGGCTGAAATCCTGCGGCTTACCGTAAGAACATTTGTCAATTTCAGTCCGTCCCTCCATGGTAACGTCAAGTATTCCTCTGGAAACGGCCTTCGGAAGTAATAGAAAACGAGGTTGTCTTCTTTTATGTCACAATGAAATGAATCAATGAACCGCCTTTGGCAACCTCATGCTGTCCAGCGGCCTTTGGCTTGCTGTTGCCTTCAGGCCCAGCAGGCACGATGGGAATTGTTGTCCAATGCATTGTAGAGAATGGGCTCAGGAAAGCATTTCTAAAAGAACCTAGTCGAGATTTCCTGCCATCACAGATTGCTGGGTTTCCCCAATCTGGTCAAAAGGATTGCAGCGACTCAGTTTCCTCAGGTGACCAAGGATGAAGGCACCGAAACCGTTTTTGTGTCCTATTCTCGCCCTCAAAAAGCAGCTTGAGTGTGTTTTACATATTCTTGCCCTTAAAAAGACAGTTTGGGTGTGTTTTTCCACAGGCAGCCGAGCTGCTTCGAGACGCCTCGCTGGGAATCCAGTTCCGCGTTCATCTCATCGGAATGATTGTCCTCACGGAGCCCGAGGTAAACAAAAGAAGAAATTCGGGGACTTCCAAGCCCCGAAGGGGCTTTGATTTGTGGCCAGCGGGCTGACGAGCGCCCGTCTTTCCCTCCAGAGCAGCATCCGTCTGTCCTCCAACATCACCGATTCGGTCATAAGTGTTTGTGAGTGGAGCAGGAGCGTCCACCCGGAGAACGACTCCGATCCTCGCCATGCGGATCTTGTCCTCTACGTGACCAGGTAAAAGGAAGCCCTCCTCTGATCCTTCGTCAGTGGCGTGCAGTGGATGGACAGGACGGACTCTTTGGGGATGTTTACCTGTCTTTCTTCAGGTTCGACCTGGAGCTTCGCGATGGGAACAAGCAGGTGCACGGTGTCACCCAGCTGGGTGGAGCCTGTTCCACCTTTTGGAGCTGCATCATCACGGAAGACACAGGGTTTGGCCTGGGGGTCACCATCGCCCACGAGATCGGGCACAGGTGAGTGGCACAGAGCTTAAAACGGGTTTGCAGAAGCCCCCAGATCGGGATTCCTGCCTTAAGCAGGGGGTCAGACTGGATGGCCTCATGGGGACCCCTTCTGGGACCTTAGGATTCTCTCTGCAGAAGGCAGAGTGACACCTCCTTGAGCGATCCATGAAAGAATGTATAAATTGTCTTTGTTAATTATCATCTTAGAACAGCAGAGCTGGAAGGGATCCAACAGATCACCAAGTCTGGATCCTGTCCCGGATCTTAGAACAGCAGAGCTGGAAGGGATCTAGTAGATCACCGAGTCTGGATCCTGTCCCGGAGGCACCAGGGGGGAATCAAACTCCCAACCTCGGGCTAAATCACTGAGCGATAATCAAACTCCCAACCTCAGGCTCTGCAACCAGAGACCTAAATCACTGACCGACTGGGAATTTTAAACGTTAGCAGAGAACGAGTAGCAAGAACACAAGGCAGGAAAGAAAATCATATAAACTTTTAAAATTAGTATTAATTTTAAGTTCTTTCCAGAAAGTCTCCATGTGTTGACAGACGCTGCAGGGCGCTTATTGGTATCTGCCGAATAAAAAATAAGTGACAGCCGTCCCTTTTTGAGGGTTCAAACTTGTTCCGTCGGCTTGTTCCATCCGTGCGCTGTTCCAGATCTGTGTTTAGCACAGTCGTTCCCTCTTTGAGGGGTTTCCCAGCTTTTTAGCGATCACAAATCTGGCCACGAGGCAAGGGGTGGGAAATCGAGCATTCCTGCCAGAGACGGTGGTTTCTTGTTTAGGAAGAAATAAAAGTCACCCTAAAGATGCCTGTGAAGTCAACCTCTGGTTTATTTGGGAAATAGATCCCTCAAGCGGATCTAAACGGACCTGCTTGGGAATGGATCTCCTTCCAAGAGATCAGATCTGGACTGAGATTGCAGAGAGAGAGAGAGAAATCGCTCATCCTGGAGCCCCCCCCTCCCGGTTTCCCTTTTATTTACTTTTTTTAAAAAAATGTTTTTATTCCAGCTTTGGCATCCAGCATGATGGGGAAGGGAACCCTTGCCCCAGCAGCGGACACATTATGGGTTCTGCGGGCGGTCATAACAGCGTCGATGTGACTTGGTCTTCCTGTAGCCGGGAGCAGCTCTTAGCCTTCATCAGGTATGGTGCTGGGGCTAGATCGAATCCAGAGATTTTTTTTTTTGATCGCGTTAAGGTGATCTGGGATTTACTGGTGGAGTGCACTGGCCTCGTGCAGAGCGTGGAATTATTAAGGAGCAGTAACCATTCTGCAGATCCTTAACGAAAGGAGATAGAAAAGAGAATTCTATGTACGGGGAAGAGCAAGAAGAAATGGGAAGTTACTTCCACTAAAGAAGGAATGACGGAGTACTAAGAGTACTAATCCGCATGTAGATCTAGAAAAGATAAGAAAGGAACCGATGTAGTCTGTCTCTCTGTCTGTTGTCCTTCTACCCCCTACGAACCCAGGCTGTTTGATGCACTGTTGGTACTCTTTTCCCAAAGAGAGAGGGTGGGTCATCCCTCCATTTGAATGAACAAATACCACGGGTGGTGACAGTCATTCACAAATCGTATCTCTCCTGGTTCTTCACCAGTACAGGCCAAGCCAGCTGTGTGGATGACCTGCCAGACTTCACGGAGACCATCCCTGGAAGGAAGCCAGGCCTGTATTATGGGCTAGATGAGCAGTGTAAAATAGCTTTCGGGGAAGCCGCCATCGCCTGCACCTTCACCCGGCACGACCTTGTAGGTAGAGCGCTTTTCGCTGGATGACGCCAAAGTCCCCTGAAATAACAACAAGGCCACACTTTCATCTAGTGGCTTACTCCTTCTTAAAGGATGCTACCCATGTAGTTTCTGTAATCCGTTGCCTTGATTCCATTCAGGCTGCGGGAACACTGGCCCTCCAGGTGTTTCTGACACGCAACGCCTGTCGGCAAAGCTAGCTGTGATCGATCACCAGATGTGCATTTCTAAGCCATCATCGCAGCCCAGATTCACCGCCCGCCCTGCGGGATTAGATTCCTAGCAATAGATAGCAAATCAAACGCCGGCACGCCTAAAAATGCGACAGCCGCTCCAATTGTTATCATCCGCAGAATAGACTCTCTGCCTTCTGTAGGTAGAGTAGGAAGATCCTTTCCAACTCAGGTTGGCATAAAGCAGAGGTCTTTGGAGACCGAGGAAATGCGGTCAGTTGTTGCATCGCGTGTTTGTGGGTTAGGGAAGATGCTGAGTCAAGAAGGTGGCTGGTCAGGGGATCTGAGCACCTCAACACTAATGGGCAGGCTCAGAAGGGGTGGCTTTCCCCCATCCCCTCTCTTAGAGGCAGGCTGGTGGAGCGATGCTGGCACCTCTTTCTTAGCTCTTGAGTCCTCACCTCCTTCCCCCTCCCCGATTTCTAGGACATGTGCAAAGCTCTGTCTTGCCACACCAATCCAGCCGACCAGTCCAGCTGTACCCGGCGTTTCTATCCCCTCCTGGATGGCACCGAATGTGGGCTCAACAAGGTAAAAAAAAAAGGCTTGTGATAAGGAGTGGAAGTATAACCCAGCGGGTGACGATCCCCGTTGTTTCTGCAACCTGCTCACTTTCTTTCCTTATTTATTGTAGGATGGGTAACGATGCATGGGGGGGTGTACAATAGGACCCCCATATCTGTGGGGGATTGGTTTTGCCCCCCAGATGCTGGAAAATGCAGATTAAAACAAATGCTTTATTAAGAGCAAATTTTCTACATAGCATAGTCTCTGGATCCCTCTAGTGGCAAGTTCTGGTAACTTCAGCTTTAAAAATGCGTATTTCTAAGATTTTTCTTTTAATACTGTATTTTCAGTATTTTCAGACTGTGGGTCAGTGAATCAGCGGATACCAATCCCGCAGATAAGGGGCTCCTACTGTATTAAAATTGTTCCTGATTTTCCACCTGCATGTATCCATTGGCATATGATGTTTTATGCAACGTGGTTTCCTCCTTTATCCTTTTTTCTTGGGGTGATTTCCAATCCCTGTCGGTTGGATCCCTTGCGCCGTGGCCGGTGCTCACCCTGCTGCTCCTTCTCCATTCTAGTGGTGTTCCAAGGGTCGCTGTAGCTCGTCGGAAGATCTGGATCCCATACATGGGCAGTGGAGCAGCTGGACGGCGCTTACCTCCTGCTCCAGAAGCTGCGGAGGGGGCGTCACAGCAAGACGGAGACAGTGCAACAACCCAAGGCGAGTAAGACCTCAGTCTTGCAAAGCGGAGACGTTTCTCTCGGTCCCCGATGAATTCAACCAGCGTGGGTGAAGCGACCAGAGAGGGGCTTCGCAGTGGAGAGACCCTTAAATCTTTCCTTTTTTTAACCAAGCTGCTCGAGAGCCAAATCTCTCCCTGGTTTCGGCTGGTGTGCCTCTTTTCTACATTCCAACAGCATTGAAGGTTGAGATTCATGCATCCCAGCGTTGAGTCTCTCCTGCCATGCAGACAGAGATCCCCTTTTTCCTTCCAGGCCTGCTTTCGGGGGCCACCCGTGTGAAGGCAAGGACGTGGAAGCTGAACTGTGTAACGTGCAGGTAGGCAACCCTTTAAAACGGTGCACTCCGTTTCGGAGACTTTCTAATTCTCAGTTCTGTGTCAAGTTTCTAGTCCTCAGGGTTGTAAAGAAACTTTTAGCCTGCTCCTGAAGGTTCTCTTGGGCTTAGATTCCCTCACCCATCTAATCTGTACTGCCTGTACTGTTTATATATATGTATAAAATTTTCTTTTTATTATTATTTATAAAATCCATCCATGCTTATTTAACATTGTGTCACCTCAGTTCAGCTTATAATAATTTGTTAATACAGCTACAATACATATTAAGCTCTTAATCTATACAACATGCTTCTGACCATTGATAAAACAAGTTCCAAACAAGTGTTTATTTATATTTTATCATTTTTTGTTTTCTCTCCTGTTGAACTGGTATTTTAATTACACTGCTGTGTGTCTTTGCTGTAAAATCCCCTCCCCCCCCGAGTAGATTCCTCGGTC